CCCAGAGATTTATTCTGGGAGAGGCAGAGATTTGCCTCCCAAGAGGTTCCTTCTTCCATTTCAGAAGCTCCCGACATGGGGCAGTTTGCAAAATTGAAAAATATTTAAAATATATAATTATTCCTTAGTAATCAGGAACTTGGGGTGTTCCTGGCTGTTTGCTTTGAGAAATTATCAATATAGCAATTTCTCAAAAGACATTAAAAAAAGTTGGCAGGAACTTAAGGATTAAATAAACTGGCTTGGAGGTAAAAGAAGAGAGAAACACCTCTGGATGGTGACCATGAAATGAATCGCTGCTCAGCCCCACAAGGGGAAGAAGCCGGTTCTGGATCACGGAGAGTCCGATCCCCCCTCCTTCTGTTAGGGAAAAGCTCTGATCCCTTTTGGATTCTGAAATCTCCCCAGAGCAGGAAGTGGATCTGGGATCCTCTCCCCAAAAGCTCTGAGAAGCCCCTGGGATTGTGGGGAGGAGCAGGAAGAAGGAGGCCCAGGCCTTTGCCTTGGACTGGGAAGGACTGGGAGGCCATACTGGGGGGAATGGGCAGTGGGACTACAGGCAGTCCTCGACTTACAACAGTTCATTTAGTGTCCAAAGGTGCAATGCCATTGAAAAAAGTGACAGTATGACCATTTTTCACACTTATGACCATTTTTGCATCCTCATTGTCGTGTGACCGAGATTTGGATGCTGGGCAACTGGTTCATATTTATGACGGTCGCAGTCTCCCCATATCACATGAGTCCCTTTTGCAGCGTTCTCACAAGCAAAGTCCATGGAGAAGCCAGATTCACTTAACAACCAGGTTATTTATTTAACAATTGCAATGATTCATTTAACAACCGTTGCAAGAAAATTTGTAAAATGGAGGAAAAAAACTCACTTAGCAAATGTCTCACTTAGCAACAAAAATATGGGCTCAATTATGGTTATAAGTCAAGAAGTACCTGCATTTATTTCTCTGGGCTTTGGAGGTCCTGCCCTTTTGTATGTAGACCCTGGTTCTGCCCAAATAAATCCCATGAACGATCCTGAAAATGATCTTTAAAATCTTGGGTGCCCTGGAAGAATTTCTGACCTGAAGAGTTTTCAGAATGGACACCAAAAAGGGGCCTTGGGGATTTTCCAGCTGAATCCATTTCCCAGCAGCATTTTATTCATTTTATTTTCTTTTGATTCTTTTAACCTGCTTAGAAGTTGTTGTTTTTTCTGTTCATTGGGCAGCCTTAGAGACTCTTCCGTGTTTGTATTTTGACAATGGAAACTAAATGGTGACTTAATGTGATTTTTTCCCCTCCTTGTTAGTAAAGTTTCATGTCTTGTGAATTGAGCCTGTCCTCCAAGGAAGGGCTGGAAAAACTCTCATGATCCTCAGTCAGGAGTTTGCATGATGGAAAGTGAAATAATTTTCTGTGTTTAATCTTTGGTTCACCAGAGGGGCTTGAAAGGGGACAGGACCCTCCCCACAGAGGATGAGTTTAGGGAGAGGACCCCAGCTGAGCCCCCCAAAAAACATGGGTGTTTTCAGCAGGAACTCCCAATCAGGCCCAGTGGGGGCAGGGGGTGGGGGCAGGGTGGAGAGGCCCCCTGGGTTTCTATAGGGTGAGGGGAATTCTGGGAATTGAAGTCCAAATGGCTGAGTCTGAGGAACTCTGATTTAGGCCTTTACCTTGCACTCACTGATCATGGGCAGAGTTGAGTAGCCAGGATCACAGTCCCCTCCCAAGTTGGCTGAGGGGCATTTCTGCCTGACAAAGTGCAGGATCAGCCCCAGAGGAGGAAAGGTTTCAGAGCGGCTTCTGCAGAAAGTGAAGGGTGAGATTCAGAGGAAATCTGCTCCAATGGAAAGCGTTCGTGGATGATGGTTTCAGGGCCCTAACTGGGTTTCTGAAACGAAGCAATCTTGGGACAATCCCAGTGAAATTCTCTGTGGAATGAGGGGGAGCCCCTCTGAGTCCTGGGTTCAAGGCCGATTCCTGCTCAGAGGGCTGAACTCTGGGAGGGGAGGGGGGATTTCCCAGCGATGGGAAGGGGGACAGGAGGAAGATTGGGGTCTCCGTGGCTTCATTGCTGCTCCTTTCCCTTTGCCTTCCCGCTTTTGGGTTTCCCCTAAGGATCCCGTGGCTCTACCTTCCCCTCCCCCGTTTTATAGAATCTCCCCTAATATCTGTAGCTATAAACCATCCACTTTGGCCCTTAGACATTTTTTTCCTGTGAATGGAAACTTGGGGTGTCCAGGTGGGGTTTCCTGCTGCTTTTGAGCTCCTGGGTGGGGGGAATCAGCCCTTTTCCCTGTGGGGCCACTGTAGCCTCCTTGGAGCAGAGACTGAGCAGCCCAGAAGGGGGTTTGAGGGAGGCCTTGATGGAAGAGGGGAGGGCACAATTGAGGGCAGGTGAAGACCTTCCCTGCCCTCCAACCCTTCAGGCCCTCCAGAAGCTGCTTCTCTCCCTCTCAGTCGCTCCCTCCTTCCACCTCCTGCTTCTTCTCCCACCATCTCCCCCTTCCTTCCCCCCTTCCTCTTCTGCCCCCCCAGTTCTCTTCTTCCTCTTCCTTCCTTCTTCCTCCCCAGAGCCTCAGGTGGGAGCCTCCGTGGGATCAGGGCCCTTGACTGAAGCCCCCTAACTCTCCCCCTCTGGGTCCCTTCCAGGCACCTCCTCCCACTCCATGAAGTATTTCTACACCAGCATCTCGGAGCCCAGTCAGGAGCTGCCCCAGTTTGTCTCTGTGGGGTACGTGGACGGTCAGGTCTTTGTTCACTACGACAGCCACACCCGGAGGGAGCAGCCTCGAGTCTCCTGGATGGAGAAAGTGGGGAAGGAGGATCCCCAGTACTGGGACAGAAACACCCAGATTTCACGTGGCGAAGAGGAGGTGTTCAGAGTCGGCCTGGAGATTCTGAGGAGTCGCTACAATCAGAGCGAAGGTGAGTGATGGGTCTGGTGGTTCCTCCGGCCCCATATTCCCCTCCCCAGGAACCAGAGGGGGGGGAAGGGGGGGTCCCTTCAAAGGGAAAAGCAGCCTCCACACCATTTAAAAAGTCTTTTTTTATATGTTTACTCTTTTATTTTAATCAATATAAGATTGTCCTTTCCTCCATAGCTGACATTTTCTTCCAACTGCAGTTAATGAAAACGTTTTTAAATTTATCCACCTGTCTGTCTGAATGTTGACATGGATATTAATATAAACTGAGGTAAAAAGGGACCAAAATCTCCCCTCCCCCCATGGAAGATGGAGGGTCCTTAGTGGATCTCCTGCTGTGGGGGAGGAAGGGAATCACAAGTCTCCCCCCCCAAAAAAAGAGGCAGGTGGATCCTAAGGAGATCCTGGGGGAAGCAGGTCCTCGTCCTTCTGTCTGTTTCCACCCCAGAGAAATGAGGGATCGAGTGGAGATCCACCTGGGGAGACTAGATCCCTTTCCTTCTCCCCCTTGTTGGAGGGAGGAGTGGGGCCCAAATGCCAGGAGCTTCTTCTCATCCTCCAGTTGGAAGGAGAGGCCAGGAGGCCCAAATGGGGTGGGGGGCTCTTGGAGGGGGGGGTCACAGGGCCAGGATCCTCCCAATCTTGAGGGGGAAAGAGAGAAAAGAAACAAACCTCCATTTGGGGCCCTTCCAGAGTCTCTCAGAGCCGTCATGGCTTCCCATCCTTGGTCCCTCAGGCTGAACTCCTGCCCTGCCCTCTTGGTGGGGCTGCCCTGGAGGGGGGGAGACTCTTCCTTCAGCAGCCCCTCCCCCCATTCTGCCATCTTTTGGGGTGGACAAGATTCCTCTTCAAGGAACCTTATTTAGGAAAGGGGTGCAAGGAAATCTGGGTGTGACGATAGGCTGCTTTTGGCTGAGGAAAACCTTCTCCACAAACCTCAGCCATTTCCCCTCCTTTCATTCCAAGGAGGGGCAGCCCCGCCCTTTTCCTCCCCCCTCCAGGGAGACCCCAGAGCTCATCCAGTCCTGCCCCTGATCCCCCAGGATCCCCCCAGATCCCTCCAGGCCCCCTGCTGGCCTTCCAGGGGAGCAGAGCTGCACCCAGAGGGCTCCCCCTGGTGGAGGAAGGAGGAAGGAGAGCGGCCAGAGTGGAGGGGAGCCTCCTTTCCAGGCTGAAGAGCCCCAAAGGTCCCAACCTTTCCTCAAAGGGAGGCTCCTTCCACCCCCCTCCATCGCCTGAGTCGCCTCCTCTGGACCTTCCCCAGCTCCCTCCGGTCCTTTTCTGGGGTCTTTTGAGCAGAAACTGCAGAGAATATTCCAGATGTGGAGGCACCCTTGATTCACAGAAAGGTTTATGACATTAGCCTCTCTGTGTTTTCAATACTATTTTAATGACCCCTGATATCCTGTTTGCCCTTTAAATTTTTTATAAAATTTGGATTAAACTTTTTGAACAGAAAACAAAAACTAATGGAAAGTAACCTAAAGTAAAGGAGATAAAAGAAAGAAATCAAAGAAAAATAAAAAATTACTAGGAAAGAAAACAAAGAAAGAAAATAAAGAAAGAAAAAAGACATAAAGAAGTGATTTCTGATATTCTTCACGGCAGTTCTAAATATAAATATGTTTTAGCCCCTCTTAAGCAGCCTTCCTCAACCTTTTGACCCTGGAGGAACCCTTGAACTATTTTTCAGGCCTCGGGGAAGCCCTGAACATCCAGGCTCAAAGATGGGCTGAAATTGTTTCATGCATAGACCTGAAGACATGCATTAATAGTGTTCTTACACTAAATATAAAAAAGGAAGCTTGCCTTTTCAATGTGATCCCTGTGCTTTCTTTTTCCTGCAGAAATATTCAAATCTGTGCTAAATTTGAGATAAGAAAATACAGATTTTTTTCTTCAAGTGAAATAAGACAATTTCTGTCTTTGGTTTTGATGCTTCTGAAATAAGACTGAGCTTGTTCTCAGGAGTTGAAAACAGCAGCCAAATATTTAGGGCCTTCCTGTGAATGGCAGGAGATTCTTCTTGGGCAGAAATCCAGAACTATTTTTCCCATGGGGAGATCAGGGAATCTCCTCTCGAGGGAAGGATCGGACTGCAGCTCACGAGGATCTTCCTCTTCCTCCAAAGGGAAGTTCTCAGGCTGAGCAGAAGATATATAGAGAAAGGATCCCTCACCCGTCATTCTTGGGTGTGGAAAGGGAGGGAAAGGACCTGTCAGTTTAGTTCAATTGTATTTACAGGTAGTTTCTCCTTAGATTTGAGAGTTTCTGGTGTCCTTTCTCTCTCTCAAGGCCAAACAGAAGTAGAAACATTTCAGGATTTCCATTTGGTTTTGTTTTTTTCAAACGTTCAGTGTTCTCCTTAAATCCAAGAATCTGTTCACTTGAAGACGAAACATCTTCTCCAGGGCCCTGCAGAGCCCGTAAACTTCAAGCTCCTTTCAAAGGCCAATAACCCTTTGGGTGTCCAGATCAGACTGGGCCACTTGCTGCTGTGGCTGAGGAAAATATTCCTTTGTGGCCCTTGAAGGCTTCATTCCCACTTTGCACTAAACCATGGTTTGTTTCAGGTTAGCCCAAAGTGGGAACCAGCCCTTCTGATGGTGCTATTTGTGGATATAGACCAAGATTTATGGTCACAGGGATCCCTGCAAACCTTTGTGTAGATCGACCAGATCTTCTTTGAGGCCATGAGGTTCTCAGTCCCTCTTAGCAGCCGCAGATTCAGGCAACTTTTCTCTCTCTCTGGGATCCCTTCCTTTCCCCCCAAGAGTCTCCCCTGCAGAGGAAGAGCAGAAGGAAAGATGGAAATGTCTCCGTCCCTCCGTTTATTCTGTGACTCCCCCTTTTCTCGGTCTCCCTTGGGATCCTCTGCTGTCTTTTCCAGCTTCTCCTTTTTTCCTGGGGAGGTTCAGGGGCTCCATCCTGGGGGGGAAATGCAGGGAGGGAGGTCGAGGGAGGGGAGAAGGGCGGCTAGTGATGGGGGCTTTCTTTCCCTTGAACTCTAGGGAGGAAATGGGGGTGTCAGTGCCTGTGTCAAGGTCTCTGCAGGGAGGGAGGGTCTCTGTCTATCTTGACGGAGACCCCTGAACCATCCCCCTGTCTGTCTTTTAGGCCTTCACACGTGGCAGTTGATGTATGGCTGTGAACTCCGGAAAGACGGGAGCAAAGGAGGGTTTATGCAGTATGGCTACGAAGGGAGGACCTTCATCACCTTCGACAAGGAGACCCGCACCTGGGTGGCTCCCGTCCCCCAAGCCCAGATCACCCAGAGGAAATGGGATGCTTTTCCAGGAGAGAATCAGCGAAGGAAGGCCTACCTGGAGGAAATCTGCATTGATTGGCTGGAGAAGTACCTGTCCTATGGGAATGAGACGCTGCTGAGGACAGGTGAGCATCTGGATCCAGGCTGGACTTTCCTCCTTTATGGCCGGATTTCTCTGACACATTCAGCCCCTTTGGGTCCCTTGTCT